GAGTAAAGTTGCCTTAGCTCATGGTGGCCAGGCAGCAAAGAGAAGGACAGGAAGGGACCAGAATTCCAATATCCCTTTCAAGACACATCCCCAATTAGTTTAACTTCCTTCCACTAGACCCCACCTCTTAAAAATTCTATCACCTCACAATAGTGCCAGGAGCTGGGGACCAAACCTTTAACATATTTGCCTTTGGGGAACATTTAAGATTCAAGCCATAACAGGATACAACTGAAATTACACAGTGAAGTTGGCTGGTTTAAAATACCCTCTTTAGGGTTGGGGTTGTGGCTCAGTGGTAGAGCGCTCATCTAGCACATGCAAGGCCCTGGGTTCGATCCTCAGCACCACATAAAAATATATAAATAAAGATATTGTGTTCAACCAAAAAATAAATATTGAAAAAAATACCCTTTATATAAGAACAAATTTGGAGAAGATGTTTGTTTTTTGGGGGAATTTTGGGGGTTGAACCCAGTGGGCACTCTACCACTGTGCTGTATCCCCAGTCCTTTTTATTTTTTGATATGGGATCTTGCTAAATTGTCGTGGCTGGCCTATAACTTGCCATCATCCTGCCCCAGGCTCCACGATTGCTGGGATTACAGGGATGTGCCACTATGCCTGGCTTTGAGAAGATATTTGAAAGGTTTCAGAAAATATGCCTTTTTAACAAATAAAAAAATGGACTAACCCCACTTAAAAAGGTGAAGGGGCTGGGATTGTGGCTCAGCGATGGAGCGCTTGTCTAGCATGCACAAGGCACTGGGTTCAATCCTCAGCACTGCATAAAAATAAATAAATGTCCAACTACAACTGATATATATCAGTTGTATATATATATATATATATATATATATATATATATATATACACACACACACACATAGATATATAGTAGTTGAATATATATATATATATATATATATAGTGAAAACAATATATAAAAGTATTACAAAAAAGAAAAGAAAATATGCCTTTTGGAAATTCTCTGTGCATCCTTACATATGAAAAACAGAGATATGGAAAAGCAGGACTGTTTATAGAAGTCAGATTCTATTGTGACAAATTGTAACAAATGCCTATTAGAAAAGTCTTTGGGGAGGGAAGGACACCAAATGAGGTGACGGATATGTATGCTATCTTTTTTTAAATATTTATTTTTTAGTTGTAGTTGGACACAACACCTTTATTTCACTTTATTTATTTATTTATTTATTTTTATGTGGTGCTGAGGATCGAACCTAGGGTCTCGCACGTGCGACACGAGCACTCTACCGGTGAGCCACAACCCCAGCCCCTATGCTACCTTGATTGTAGTGATAGTTTTATAAGCATATGCATATGTCAAAATCTAAGTTACAAACATTAGTATTTGTAGTTTATTACATACGAATTATATCACTCTAAAGTTGTGAGGAAAAAAGTTTGCCAGACTTTTGCTATTCAAAGTGTGGTCTGTAGACAGCAGCATCAGCATTGCCAGAAAGCTTATTAGAAATATTAGGTTCTCTAGAGTTAGGAGTGTGGCTCAGTGTTAGAGTGCTTGTATAGCATGCACAAGGCTCTGGATTCCATCCCCAGCACTGAGAAAGAAATAAATGCTGATTCCTGGGCCTCCCTGCACACTTGCTGGATCAGAATCTGCAGGTTAACAACTTTCAGGTGATTCTCATGCACCTCTTCTTATAGTGAATGTCTGGAACTCATCTTTCATAATGAGTTGTTAAAAGGAAGTTGTATTGTCTAGGCCTTTTCTGGTCACTCTTAAGAACAACCACCTTCAGGATGGTCCTTGGTGGTACTATTAGGAAGAGGTTTAGATGTTAAGTATGGAGGATGTTTGGAGTTTTCAGTAATATTTAATATGTTAAGTTCCAAAATAGTAAAAAATATCAATGATGATTAATTTCCTATCATATTTTAGCTCTCTAGGTATATTCTACAAGTTTTAATATTTGTGTTTTTTTAGAGAGAGCTCTACCGCTGAGCCACAATCCCAGCCCCTTAATATTTGTTTTTTAAATTAACTTTTTTTGCTGGGCTTGGTGGTACACACTTAAAGTCTCAGTGGCTGGGGAAGCTGAGGGAGGAGGATCACAAGTTCAAAATCAGCCTCAGCAACTTCACTAGGCCCTAAGCAACTTAGCAAGACCTTGTCTCAAGAAATAGAAAAACGGCTGTGGATGTGGCTCAGTGGTAAAGTGCCCCTGAGATCAATCCCTGATACGAAAAAAAAAAAAAAAACCTTTTTTCTGATTACAAAAGAAATGCTAATTTTTTAAAAATATTTTTTTTATTTATACATGGACACAATATCTTTACTTTTTTGTTTATGTATTTTTATGTGGTGCTGAGGATTGAACCCAGTGCCTTACATGTGCGAAGCAAGTGCTGTGTCACTGAGCCACAACCCCAGCCCAAAATGCTAATTTTTAAAAAACATATTTCTAGTTGTAGATGGACACAATACGTTTATTTCATTTATTTATTTTTATGTGGTACTGAGGATTGAATCCAGTGCCTCATACATGCTAGGCAAGTGCTCTACTACTGAGCTACAACCCCAGCCCTAAAATTTTTTAAATAAAAAAATAAATGCTAATTGTAGAAAACAACCTATAATTCCAAAAAGCAGGTTGTATTCACCCATTTCATTATCTCCTGCAACAGTTACTGAATACTAAAGGTAAGACACTGAGTTAGATACAACAGAGAATATATTTATGACTTTTTGGAGGTTGGGTCTTATATCTATCTATTTTTAAGCTAGATCTAAACATCCAAGCTAAATAGAAAGAATCCAGGTACTGGAGTTAAAATTAATCTTGAGTCTTTTACAAGTGGGCTTATCATAAAGTTAATGAAACTCAAGCTTCATGCTTCCTTATTTGCATAGACTCCTTCTAAGACCCCAGAGGGGCCCTAGTAGTACATACATGTAGTACAAAATGCCTTTAAAACCTTTGAGAAGAAGACATATCTGATTGCTGTCTTTTTGTTTCTGACTTCCCTTCATTACACTTTTGGTCTGAGTTAGGAGGTCCTGGAATGATCAACATCTTTTAGGGATTTGGCTAAGGGAACAATGATTGAATAAGGGATATATATCTTGGGTTTTAGTAGCATGCATTTAAGTGTTTTGCACAAGTTGTTAAATGATTGCTCACTGTGGGCGTAGGAATGGCTTTCTGGAATACATCTACTACCCATTCTGACAATTCAGTTAGTGCCATGCCACAAAAGTCCAGGGCCAGAGGGCAGAACTCTGTAGTGCCCGGCACAGGTAGTGGAGGAGAAACAAAGATTGAAAGAAAAGGAGAATCTATTCTATAGAAATGTCTTCCAATTGCCAGAAGTGAAAAATTTTAAGTAGAGAGATCAATTCTCTCAGTACTTCATCAAAATGCAAGTTCTCACTGATCAGTAATCTACTAAATAATGTCATATATACAATTTTAAACTATAACATACTTATTTTGGTTTTATGTGAATCATGCAAAAAGAGAATGTATTAGAATTCTTGTTCTGTCTTTATGTGAAGTTATATGTTTTATTCATGCTAATGGATCAAATTGTCTGAACACAGCAGATAAATATTGTCCTGAAAAAACTCTTGAGCTCCAGTAAAACACACACACACAAACTGGACTCCATGGAACATGCCTGTAATCCCAGGGGCTTGGGAGGCTGAGGCAGGAGGATGCAAGTTCAAAGCCAGTGTCAACCAATTAGAGGCCCCAAGTAACTTAGACTCTGTCTCAAAATAAAATATAAAGGGGTGGGAATGGGGGATGTGGCTCAGTGACTAACTACTTGTGTTCAATCCTCGGTACCAAAACAAACAAAAAAAAAAACACTCCCACACAAAATTGCCATTGAAGCTGCCAAACGACCTTCATATCTTAGTTTACATATGGGGAAAGTTAATAGATTTCCCCAAATTTGACAATAACGCTAAAGAAGTACATAGGAATTGTGAAGCTCAAACTTACACTTATTAATAAAAAATTAGTCAACCATGCCAAAGACTGATCTTTCTCCTTTCTTCATAGAAAATATTACAAAACAATAATCATAGAAAAAGGTGATCAAAAGTATGCAACCCCCCCAAAATGTAAGAAAAATGATCATAAATGGTGCCCCAAAAGTTTAGAACACAAGTGATGCATCAAGAACATCTTTGATCTTTAAAAACAATGATTATTTGGGGGTTCTTGGACACCTTGTATGAAGCAGTAAAAATATTACGGTTATGTGTGTGAGATCTGTGGGTCTTGTTATTTAAAAAGGTCATTTGTGAATTCTTTCTCGTTCTAAATATATTCACTTTCCTACTCTCCTGCTTCTATTGTTTTGTACTTTTTTCCCCCAGTAAGAGTCCCCTAAATTACGTGAGGTTCAGTTCCTGCAAAACCAGAAGTTCTAACAATCTACAACCAACACAGAGAAGCCACTTAATTTCTCAGCAGTCCTCAGTTTCCTCTTAAAAAAAAAAAGTATTTTGCCTTTCATTTCCTCAAAGTTTCTGTAAATACCAACAAAACTGGTGGGCAAAAAGAGCTCCTCCAACCACATAATCCTCTACAAAAAGTGAAGGGTCTCTGTCCTGGCGGGTAGGTGGGTGGGGGCGCCTGCCCGTCTACACAGCCACGCTGCCGGCACTAACCCTGGCGCGGGTCTCCTCTGACCCCGCCCCTGACGGTCTCTGAATAGCCGCTGAACCCAACTGGGGGACGTGGGCGGGGGGTTTGGGGGCGTAGCAGCCGCTCATAGCAAGAACTGGCATCACAGAGTGCCGGGTGATGGCTGGGAGAGGCGGTGGAGACCAGCTTTAGATGAGGCGACGGCGGGTGGTCGCGGAGGGGGCGTAATCGACGGTTCCGGAGGAGGCGGGGCACCAGGCCTCAGCCCTTCTGGGGGGCCCAGGATCCTCCTTAGCAGCGGAAGTTCCGGTGTCGGCAAGCGGAGGTCAGAGGTCAGCAGGAAGTCGATACGTGGCCGCCGCCTGTCCCCGCCGAGGAGGCGCAGCACCCGGAGATGGCGGCGGTGCTGAACGCCGAGCGCCTTGAGGTATCGGTCGACGGCCTCACGCTAAGTCCGGATCCGGAGGAGCGGCCTAGCGCAGAGGGCGCCCCGCTGCTGCCGCCGCCACTGCCGCCGCCCTCGCCTCCTGGGTCCGGCCGGAGCCCGGGCGCCGCAGGGGAGCAGCCGGAGTCCGGGGAGGCGGCGGCTGGGGGCGCGGCGGAGGAGGCGCGGCGGCTGGAGCAGCGCTGGGGCTTTGGCCTGGAAGAGCTGTACGGCCTGGCTCTGCGCTTCTTCCGAGGTGAGCCGCGCCGCCGCCTCTGCTCGGCACCGGGAGCCAGGGCTGTGGTCCCTAGGGTGACCGGACGAATCTCATTCCTACCTCCCAGGGTAGGCCCGGTGACCAGAGCAGGGCTCCCTCCTTGGGGGTACCCGAAGTTTGTCACTATTAGCTTGGACTAGGTCACACCCCTGAGGGGCCTGGAACCTTGCTTTAGCAGTCGAGTCCCGCCTCCCCTAGGTTACCGGGGCATTTTACCTGATTTAGCTTCTCCTTTTTCCGTGAGCCAGGATGGAAGAATGAAACCTTTCTCCCAGAGGATCCCAGAGGATCCTATTCTGGGATTGCTTTTTTTCTTTACCTATGTTTTCCTTTTCCTGTTTCCCATGGTTTGCCACCTAGGATTCCACCGATTTTTACCCTTTTCCTAAAGTGGAAGAAATTTTTCAATAGGTTCCACATACATACCCATTCCAGCCATTCTGGGCAACTATAGGACATGGTCCCCTGGCAGTATTGATGTGGAAGAGAAAAAAGTAAAGTGTTAGACTCATTTATGCTTTCCACCTTGTCAAATTCTGAAGAGATGTCCACAATGTTCTAGTAGCTTCTGAATGGTTAAAATTGTATCTAGTAACTAATGTGGAAGAATTAATTCTCAGAGTAAAGCCTAAAAGTACCCTCTGTGCCGTCGCATAATTAACTGAAATGTCTCTTCTCTTAGAACAATATTGTTCTAAGTGTTTTATTTATTTATTTTCTTTAAAGTGGGTGATTCACTTAGTCAAGTGATGGAGAGATCAGTCACATGGTTTTGTAAATAGGAAAGACTAATGACCGTTAGTTTGATTCTTAAAGATATTTATGTCTTTCTTGGGTGGAGGGCAAGGAGAGACATCCACAAATGAAACTTTTTAAAAGTGGTTGCTAGGTTCCACGTACCTTCCAGAACAGCATATTTATGACAGTTTTCCCAGAAGGAGTACCTTTTAAAGCACACATTTTTACTGGCTGAAGTTGAGTAGTTCAGCTTAGTGATACATGTTAATGACATGTTTTCTCTCAAAATAACTTTAATTGTGCTAACTAGTGAAGCTTTCTCTTTTGTAAATCATACAGAACATTTGAGCATTCCGAATTCATTGCGTTTTTTATTAAAAAGCTTACGCTTGAAATATTCTTTGTCATTACACAATGAATTCAGCCCTTGTATACTTGCTAGCTTGGGGAATTAATAATGGCTAATGGATTTTGGATCACTTGACCTCTGAGGTCACTGGCTTGAATTTAGAGTTTGCTGTGGTATGATATATTAACACACACGCAAATCTAGTAGTTTCTGTACACTTCGGGAAACTATGTTCTACCTTAAAATTTTATTCTTGGAATTTATTTTTCCAATCAAGTGTATTGTAATAGATACTAAGAGTAGAAAGGAATCAACTTTTAATTCTTGATTTTGCCACATGACTAAAAGCAAAATGGGTAATTTCATCTTTTTAGTTTGTCTTATTTGAAAATAGTAGTAACATCTACTTTGAAAGATTAAAGTACTGTATAAGGTGGAGTATAGCATTGCCTTGAAAGTCAGGAACCTCTGGATTCTAGTTCTTTGATATCTCAGATTTAAGCTTTAGTGATCTAAACCTAACATTATTTTATTGAGTGGGAGAAATCCTAGGGGAAATCCATAATTTGGGGAGCCTAAATCCATAATTTGAGTCACCTTAATAACAAAAGCTTCTTTGGTTGGTATGGTTCATTCATTTCTTAATTTTTCAAAGCGATATCCAAATACTTAAACAAGAGAAGTAACTGTTTAGCAATTAAAAGCTACCTTTCTGCATGGAACATTACATGAGATATCAATGAAGATACTGGCAGCATATGAGACATATACAATAACTGTTTAAAAAAGAAAAAGGAAGAATGTAAAAGTAATCTTATCACAGTAGTCATAGGCCAATGATTGAGCCTGTATGTCAACTACCCTCTTAATTTTGTGAAGGTAAAAGTTAAATAATATAGTCTGGGGTGTGTAACTCAGTGCATTTGCCTAGCATGTGTGAGGACCTGGGTTCCATCCCCAGCACTGCACAGAAATAAATAAAAAAGTGAAATAATAGGTGGAAGTACAGGTAAATGTAAGTTAATGTTTTACCACCTAAATTTTAGCCATTATTGCATCCTTAATTATGGTTAATATTTTAAATTAGTTTTCCACTGCAAGTGAATAGCTCATTAGGATCTATTAGGTCCTATAAGTCCTAAAGAGGAGTTAAAGACCCAGTGACAGTAGTATGAAAGATTGAGGTAGTGGTGCCATTTCATTAAATTGGGAAGGTCAGGAACCCGAATGGCCAAGTCATATGTCTGGGAAGTGACAAGTAGGAAGTAGTTTGGTGGAGAGAGATGGCTTTAAAGATTTAATTCAGATCCTCGTAAGAGTTGAATGCTATTGTAAATAATTGGTCCTTTTTGTCAGAATATTGGTGAAAAATCATTGAAGGTTTTTTTTTTTAATATTTATTTAGTTGTAGATGAACACACAGTATCTTTATGTATTTTTATGTGGTGTTGAGGATTGAACCCAATGCCTCACACATGCGAGGCAAGCACTTTACCATTAAACTACAGCCTCAGCCCCCCATTAAAGGTTTTTAAAGGATGGAACAAAGTTGGCCTAATTCAATTTTAGCAAAATTAAGTATTTTGTTGTGGTGGTGGGTTTGTTGTTGTTGTTGTTGTTAGAGAACTGAAGGGACCCAGAGCATATAGGTTTTATGCTTCTTGGATGAAGTTGACCTGCAGAAGTAAATTTTTGGTTTTTAGAGTTCTTATGAAGAGGGTGGATTTTTCTGTCTCTAATACTTTATTGCCACATTACATTAAGTTGTTAGATTGGTTACATTAACGTAAAATTCCAAACTAATGATTGCCAATATGTTGAGCAGATGTTCACTAAATGTTAGGTACTATTGTGAAAGCTGTATACAAGATTTGTTTAATCTTCCTGTGAGCCCTTTTGTAAAGGTGTAATTCTCATTTCTCTGGTGAGGAATCTGCCTGAGCCACTCGGTTGTTATTTTGGCACTGGGATTGAACCCAGGGTCTTTTACCTCTGAGCTACGTCCCCAAGCCTTTTTAAAAATTTAATTCTAATTTTTTTTTTTTTTCTGGTACTGGGGATTAAACCCAAGGATATACTACTGGGGATATATATCCCCAGCCCTTTTAAGCCCCCTTATTTAATTTTGAGAGTGTCTCCCTAAGTTGCTGTGGGCTTTTTTTCCCAAGTTACTGAGGCTGTCCTCAAACTTGTTATCCTCCTGTCTGAGTCTCCCTACTACCTGAGATAACAGGCATGTGCCACCGCACCATGCTCAGTTTTTATTTGTAAGAGGTGAGATTGGTTCTCAGTCTGTCTGATTCCAAATATAGTTCTTTGCACCCCAGGAGATAAAAACAAATGGGACCTCTGTTTTCTGGTGATACGCTGAAGAGAATATTCAAAGCAACCTAGCTAGTTGCCTTATCACATTGAACTTTTTCATTATATTTACATGAAAATATAAAAGGCTAATGGAAAGATCCAAGTTGGTTTTCTAAACATGATCATGTTCGAGAAAGTCCCAAATGTCTGTAAAATAAGTGTGAGAGAATTCCTAAATAATATTGCTTTTGGCTTTGAAAATCTGAATGCATTGAGGGAGAATCCTAATGGACTTAAGTAAACGTGCCCATCAGAAATGAGTCCTCCATAGCCTCCCAAGTTATTGGGAAGGAAGGCACCATGGGCACCCAGTTTCCTCAATGAACAACATGTATAGGAAAAAAGGGGTGTAATCCCAGGTAGCTGGGATTACAGGTGTATATGTTGTGCCTTTTTTTGTTGTCCCAGGGATTGAACTCAGGGGCGCTTAACCACTGAGCCACACACTGAAACCTTTTTAGATTTTATTTTGAGAAAGGGTCTTGCTAAGTTGCTGAGGCTGGCCTCGAATTTATAGTCCTTTTGTCTCAACCTCCCAAGCCACTGGGATTACAGGCATGCACCACCATACCCAGCAGTGTAGTACCATTTTAAGATTTTTTTTTTTAATATTTATTTTTCAGTTGTAAGTGGACACAGTACCTTTATTTTATTTTTATGTGGTGCTGAGGATCGAACCCAGTGCCCCATACATGCCAGGCAAGTGCGCTACCGCTTGAACCACATTCCCAGCCCCTGTGTGTATTTTTTAAAAAATATTTATTTTTTAGTTGTGGTTGGACACAACACCTTTATTTTGTTTATTTTTATGTGGTGCTGAGAATCGAACCCAGGGCCCCGAACTCGCTAGGCGAGCTCTACCGCTGAGCCACAACCCCAGCACCCTCCCACCCCCGTGTATTTTTTAATGTAAATGATTTTAAAATTTGCTTGAGGCCTCTCCTGTGTCACACAGAAGAATGCATAGATTCCAAGTGTATAGCTTCCTGAGTTTTCATAAAGTGAACACAATCATGTAGCCAAAACCCAGAAAGATGTTTACTTTTATCACTTAACTAAGTTGAGAGCCACAGTGACTCAGTATTTAGAAGGTGAGCGCTGGAGTCAATATTTCTGGGTTGTTTTTTCTCCCTCCGCTGTTTAATTGTTTAAACATTTTGTGCTTTCATTTCTCAAATGGTTGTTGTAAGAATTACAAAAATTATACATATATACACAGGCACATATATACACAACACATTCTCTAAACAGTACCTGACAACTGGCAGCTGCATTTGTTGTTAAAAAGGAGGAATTGCCAAAAATTGATGGTGGGTGTGTTGAATTAATGGGGAGGAAGTCTTAAAACTTTTATTATTTACTTTTGCTAAGTAATTTTCAAAGTGTTTCATATTCCTTGAGTCAGGCATTCTGTACTATATTAGTCTTTTCTTTTAAATAGTATAAGAATTTGTGAATTACACTTTTTCTTAATTAAAAAATGTGAAGATGTGTTTTTAATTTTTTTTTAATATTTTTTTAGTTGATG